ATCACTCCGATCAACCAGACCCATTCATGCTGAAGCAGGGCAGGCATCCGCTTACCACGAAAATCGTAATTTTACCATCTACTATAACCTATTCTATTCCGAAAAGAAGTCTTAAAGTTTTGACTGATTAGGATCAAGCCGTAATCGTATAAGTATAAAATTATCAATTATTCATTAATAGGCAATCTATCAATGTTAGAAAGACGTCAATTATATGACGAATGACCAATAATCACATCTTTATGAGAATCTAAGATTTTTATCTTCTTTATGGACATGTTATTAAAAGGGTTCTAGACTATCGGCTTAGTCTGGTGATTGGAAATTGATTTCTACATTGAAGAAAATTACTACATACTATATTGAATTATGACGTCATTGTATTTTTGCGTGATATATTTTATAAAAATTAGCTTTAAAAATTATAAATTTAAAATTTAAAAAACCCCCGACATTAAATATAATATTCTTTTAAAAAGTAATAATTAATAGAAAACGTGGCATTGGGGGACCGATCCAAACATTTTATTATCAACTAGGTACATATTTTTATTTCGTCGGGGGTCTAATTTATTTTTTTATTTTATACTTTTTATGGGTATTTTATATCATTTTCTCTTGAGTAAGAAGTAAGTCATCAACATTCCCTCAATCCCTTTCAGTGCGCTTTCATTTGAGACCCCACTCGAGTATATTTGCAGACCTTCGGTTACCCTTCCCCACTTACCCCCCCCCCCTCCCATAACTTCTGAACGGCCCAACCGATTTTCGTCAAACATGTTCAAGAACACTCGCACGTAAGTCTTAATGTATTAAAATTTAGTAATTGAAATCGCTTCCCCCTTCAGGCTCCAGGATGCCACAGACAGACAGACAGACAGACAAGTCAAACTTATAACACCCCTCTTTTTCAAAAGTTCAGTGTATCTATCTATACTAATTTATTTTACACCTAGGAAACTACTCAATCGCACTATTGTACCACGACCTTGAGTAGGAGAAGGAACGGGTGGGTTATTAGCCAATAAAAGTCTGATACACCCTCTCGCCTCACCCAAGAGAAGACATTTGATGATTTTCTCCCACGAAACAAAAATAGTTCAGCCCTTTCCTTTTTTCGAAAAGGACCTTTTTGAGCTAGAGAGGGTGGGATTTGGCACCCAAAGGTTGGGTTACAGAGAAAAAATGGACAAGAGTCACTTCAGAGCAGCCTTTTTTGTATCATAAGTCGGCAAACGAGCAAGCGGACGGATTACCTGATGGTAAGCAATCAGCGCCGCCCATGGACACTCGTAATACTAAAGGAGTTACTATTTTTTTTTTATGTAATGGTCGGCAAACGAGCAGACGGATTACCTGATGGTAAGCAATCAACGCCGCCCATGGACACCCGCAACGGAGGAGTTACGAGTGCGTTGCCGACCTTTTAGGGATTAGGGATATGGAAATTTAAGGATTGAGGAGGTATTGGGGGCGGGGAAGGATTGGGCCTCCGGTAACCTCACTCACACGGCGAAACACAACGCTGTGGTTGTTTCACGCCGGTCTTCTGTGAGGCCGTGGTATCACTCCGGTGCCAAAGCATGGCTCTCCCACACTTAAAGTTGCGTTAAGTTAAGTGCGTTGCCTCTCGGATTAAGGTTCAGGTGGAAGGATGGGCTTCCAGTAACCTCACTCACGCTGAAACACAATATGGCTCTGTCACAATTAAATTAAAACTTGGGAACAAAACATCGGAAGTGCGTGAGTAAGGTAGCTTAGTCAGAAACCAGAAGTGTCTTTGGATTAATCTTCGGTTATCATACATTGTCCTAGTTGACAGTATACTCGAGTGGTTTGTCAGTAGCACATTTAGGATATAGGTTTATGTAAGTTTCTCGGTAAAATGATCAAATGCTTATAGTGGTTAGGTAATCTACAGGGTGTAAAAAGACACTTAACGAAGCCGTTAACTACGCATACTGCAGTTCTAAGTGTTCTAACTAAGTAGCTTTACGCTAAAATTATCACTGGGAAACACCTTTTATTTTTAGATATCAAAAAATAATTATTTTAACTAAAATTCGCGGGTTACTCACGTGTAAATGATGAGAAAAGCTCTACTAGTTTCGAACCACAGTAGGCTGCGCGACGTCGCCGCGTCCGCGCACGCTGCTCATGAGGAAGAACCCCTCTGTGGTTCGAAACTAGTAGAGCTTTTCTCATCATTTACACGTGAGTAACCCGCGAATTTTAGTTAATTTAGTATGTCTCACGATAGTTATTATATAAAATAATTATTTTATTGCGCGCAATGTAAAGCAAACGGGCTTCGTGTCATTGTGTGCCTAGGTTCACAACTTAGCATGAAAACGCTGAGATAAGTACGTAGGTCGACGTTTTACTTCGCAACAACAAAACAATTCTGTAAAATAAAAATCCTACTGAGATGCACGATGTTTTTTGTGCGGGTCTGCATTTATTTATTACGTACATTACTGTTCGTCTTCGAATACGTAATTTATTTAGAAAATCGAAAATTCAGGTAATGTTTGTTTGGAAAAAAGTTTTGTAATAATACTTAGAAATCGATTGCGCAAAAAATAATAATTTAAAAATGCATCCTTGACCTTCAATATCTCGAGAACCAGTGGAGTCCCAGCTGTGGTCTTAAAGAAAAAAATTATCCAAATAATGGGTAGAATACGTGGCTTTCGACTTCGTTAAGTGTCTTTTTACACCCGGTATATCAATGCTAAATCTCATTAATATAAATGTGGTAGTCATGTAAAATAAGCTATTAACCATTGCAATACTACAGACTGGAGAATGATGAAAGAAACAATAACTAAATACAAGTTTTCTTTTTGTGAGGGGAAAATCATCAAATGACTTCTCCCGCCCAGGGTCAGGCAGGAGGGAGTGTCAGACTCTTACTGACTAAAAACACCCCCGTGCCTTCTCCTGCTCTGGGCCTACGTGGCGGTGCCTCATTGCGCTTACCCCGCAACCCCGGCTAAACATCAGCCCTAAAGGGCTCCGTCTGTGGTGGTCTATTGGCTCTTTGAAGCGCGCGCGGAACGCTGCGGCTACGCTACGCTTGGATCTGGTTCTGGTCGGGCGGCGAGTTATCCTTACTCGCCGTCCGCAGACCCGCGCTTACGGTAGCCGGAGATCGTCTCTTGATCCCCGACGCCCGGAGTGTCGCCTGCTGCCGCGGCTGGGGCGTGAGGAGGAGAATTAACTCCCTCATGGGCTCCGCCTCCTTACTAATACCCCTTACCAGTGAGTGACTGGCTAAAATTCACATTGCTTGATTTTGAACCCTAACGGTGGATGCTACGGGCTGCTCATGGCCTCTTTCCCGCTAGATGGCGTTGAAGTCAGTATGTTCGGTTTTATTTTATTTTGGGTACGTTTCATCAATAAGAAACTCTCCTTAAACCTCCGGGCCACCATGACACATCATAGCAATATACGCCTCCATTTCATATTTCAACCTTATCTGAATACATTACACAGATAAGTATACTTTGATGAGCGTCTTGTCTTGATAATTATAAGAAGGTTGAATGTTTATAATAAAAAGTCAATAAATACTTACCTTGACGACTGAGCTAATATTTATCATACTTTTATTTTTTAATGATAATAGATTATAATGATAATGATATTGATATTATGATGACATTATTGCGGAGTTTGATATAAGTAGGTACGTTGCGATTATAATTATACGTGTGTGCGACACGCCTCTTTTCTTTGTTGATGCTTACTTTGTTTGCCCCTTTTTTAAAGCCCAGTAATGATGACTGACTAGTTCTAAGGATAAAACAGTGGTTTCTGTTTTTCCTTAATCGACGCGACTGATTAAATTTGATTTGCTTAACAAAATTATATTCTTTCTTTTTTGTAAATCATCATTTTAGAGTGAAATATAATTAGGTAATTAATGATGATACCTACATTTGAACTAAACGTTATGGTAATAAAAAAAAGTAATAAATACAATTAGTGTTTTGGGGTAGAAAAAAAAGCCAAATGATTGTATGCTCAAAGCCTGAAATTTTATAATAAGGTATGCAAATGAGTTGGATAAGTAAATTAAATAATTAAGGCCCACTGATTTGTTTAATAAAAAAAATATGAAAGTCCTAACTAAATTAGTTATGTTCTTCTATTTTGAAATAATCCATATTGTATAATTTAAAATAAATAATGAATCCCAACTTATTTATTTTCTACTCTCTTACTATGAATGTATCCGAACGAATTAAACGTCAACTACATAGTGATGTGAACGATCGAAAAAGTATGTCTATATTATCGATATCATTAATCGATTTAATCAAATCCTCTTTCAATCAAGTGTCACGTGTTAACAATTTAAAATAATTCAACCGTATTACTTGAATTTAGTTATATAAAACTATTTATACCTATATTATTTATACGTATCAGTATAAATAGTATTATCTAGTGAGTGATATATGTAACGTTATTTTATAATTAATCCACAAATAAAAGTATATCAATATATATTAGTTTAACATGCCAAAGCCATAACACACAATGCTAATTCATATATTATTTACCTATAGATTTTAATAATTATTGTATTGAATAGTTCGGAAATTCTTACAGGTAGATGCGTCTACTGAAACGAACCCCCAAAATTAAATTACCTACTTGGCTTAGACCCGTGGTTTCATTTCAATTGCCGACATTCTCATAATGTCGAGAAAAACGAAAGTTTACTGTAAATAATAATAAAAAGAATCGATTCTCGTTGTGCTCGATTAGATAATTGATAATACGATAACCGATTTGTAGGTACCGCTAACTACCACAACACTAAAATTGCGTTGACTTGACATTTTAGTTGTCACCTCATTGATCACGGTGAACTGAGCCCAATCTCGAGTTTGTAAACAAAACATATAAGAAATAGGTAGCAAAAATTAACAAATCAACTCAATCAAAAAGTGGAAAATACAAATTTAGTTACTATTATAAATGTTATAAGTGTCTGACATATTTATTTACTCGTTTATAGTGTAAAACTTAAGTTTTTAATAATCAAAATGTCTGATGTCGAAGTTGAAGTTCCTTCTACGTTTAAGAAAAGAAATCTCAAAAACAGAGGCGGTAGGAAACGTAAAACATCTAGTTCTGAAGGTAAAGTATATGTTGAAGTGCGTTAAATTGGAATTAATAGAGTAAAACATTGCGAACTCAATTGTTAATTTTGAGGTTATGTTTGTGATTATTTGACTAAATAAAAATAGGTTGTATGAGGATTTTAATAGTAACTGTGACTGTTTTTGATGTTGTTATTATATAGATTTTAACTAACTTAAGCATATCAGTGTTTTTTATTCTATCTTATATAAGAAACCATCTTTTTATGAAATGTATTATTTGCAACTGGACCATATTTTGAAAGATGGTTTAAACAACGCCATGTCCTGCGCTAGCGAAGGATTAGCCATGCCATAGCTATGGATGTATGTATATATGTTTTTAGAACCTATCTGTGTTTGATTCAAACGTTGAAACTTCAAGAGGGTCCACTATTACTCCTCATTCTTTTCTTTATTTATTTTTAGTACACATATTATAAACATTTCAAACATAGCAGTCAGTAATAGAAAGACTTTTTAGGTTTTTTTGTTTTTACTTGCAATAAACTAGTGCTTGACTGCGATCCCATCTGATGGTAAGCAGTGATGCAATCGTTATAATAACCACCTATTTATGACTTCTTGTACATTAATTTTTTGTAAAAACTTAATAATCCTTTACGAATTCCAGAGAAAAACAGTTCAGACTCGGATGAGCAGACCGTTGTGCTGCCTACGAAGCGTCCACAGAAGAGTAATCCAAACATACAGAGTACTGGAGGTGCCAAGAAGTCTAAGCCAGAGATAGCTGATGATGCAAGTGATAACAGTGATGAAGATAAGGCTAGTAATTGTGATTGTTTTTTGTTTAAAATACATATTATTATTTAAAACTTTAAGTGTGGAAGAACTATGCAATGGACCGGCTTGCCCGGAGTAATACCACAGCGTAAACGAAAACCTGTGTTAAATACACACAGCCTTGTATTTTACCTTGTGAATGAGGTTATCGTAGGCCCAGTTCTCCACAGAATGGGGGTGGCATCCTCTATTCTCAACCTAACAACGCACAAGAGGCTGGCAACGCACTTGTAGTAACTTTGTATTTCTATGCCCATTAGGTAATCTGGCTGCTTGTTAGTCAACCTATGATACAAAAAAAATATTATAATGTATCGCAAAATGTGTTGGTAAGCGCATAACTCAATAATGCTGGGACAAATTTTGCCATTCTTTTTCTTTTGGTATGTTTATATTGGTTCTTATGAAAGATAAATTTTTACCATATCACTGTATTGTATTTTCATGTTTATTATTAATATTTACATATATTTATTAAAATTACTCTAAAATTACATTTTTAAATATAACTATAAAATAAAATAAAATAATATTTGAAAATATTATTATAAAAGTAGGAGCCAGCCGGCAGCGGGAGCAAGGTCCAAGCTACCGGCGGTTAGGGCTCCAGAGACAGGAACCTCCTCACAATACGTGCCGTTTCAAGGAGGACTGCCTTTTGTATGAGGCCCTTGATCCATCCGCCTAACGTCAGCCTCTTAAGGTGGTTGTCGAGGCTTTTGGGGACTAACCCATTTGCCGACACAACTATCGGCACAACGATAGCCGAGTCCACACTCCACATGCCAACAACCTCGTGAGCTAAGTCAAGATATTTCAATTGTTTATCTTTCTCAGCTTTCACGAGGTTCTCGTCATGAGGAATGGCAACATCGATTATCGTCGTGCGACGCGCTAGTCGGTCTACCACCACTATATCAGGCTTATTGGCTACAATAGTCCTGTCTGTGATGATAGACCGAGCCCAGTACAATGTGATATGGTCTTTTTCGAGAACTGAGTCGGGCACATACTTGTAGTACGCTAATAAATATATTGTTGTCTATACTAAAGTTGCATTTTGCATTCTAAGTTAATCTCCCTGAGGTTGACCGGAGACAATGACAATCAATAGAAAATTAATAATAGTTGTAGATAAAATTGGGAAATACCGACACTCGTCGTTTGCTAGGCAGATTATTAGACACCCGAGCCTAGTAAACAATATATCTATACTTACATATAAACAATCCAATGTTCTAATTCCAGTTAAAACAGCGGACAACACTATCGGTACAACAGCAGCGGGAAAATGCGACGGCAACTTATGAACTGGATACTGAACATGACCGGGATGCCCAGGCTATCTTCGAGAAGGCGCAGAAAATTAATGAAGAACTCCAGGGACAGGCCGATGATAAGGTATGTTTATGCGTTTCTACAGTGATTTCGTCTACAGTAGGAAAATGTTAAAAGTGTATATATTTTTTTTTTGTGAGGTGAAAGTCATCAAAATGAATGAGGGAGTGTCAGACTCTTACTGACTAAAAACCCCCCTGTTCCTTCTCCTGCTCTGGGCCGAGGTCGCCTCATTGCGCTTACCCCGCAACCCCGGCTGAACATCAGCCCTTTAGGGCCCTGTCTGTGGTGGTCTATTGGCTCTTTGAGGCGCGCGCAGACCGCGTGTATATAAATGTGTATTAGCGCAGCATATACAGTACGGCCGCCAGTATCTTGGCAAGTCTGAACTCTGAAGTTAGCCGTTTGTCTGCGCAATGAATCTTTTAGGAACAAAATTGTGTACTGCGCAGCTAATCGGCTAACTTCAGACTCGCCAAGATAAGTTGACGGTATTGTAATCTACTAGATTTTGCCCGCGACTTACACATATTTTTCACGCACGCCACGCACTTTTAGCAAGTTATTTAATGATTTTTCCCACCTCTTACCTACACTTAAATCCATAATCGTTTCAGGTTTACCGTGGTATGAACAATTACGCTCAATATTACAAGAAGCGTGATACAGCGGCCGGCAACGCGAGCTCAGGGCTTGTGAGAAAAGGGCCCATCAGAGCCCCTGCTAATCTAAGAGCTACTGTCAGGTAAGACTTTGTTTTTTTTATTGGTTAGGTCGGCAAACGAGCAGACGGATTACCTGATGGTAAGCAATCAGCGCCGCCCATGGACACCCGGAACAACAATAGAGTTACGAGAGCGTTGCCGACCTTTTGGGGATTGGGGGAGAGGACGGATTTGGCTTCCGGTAACCTCACTCACACGGCGAAACACAACGCTGTTGAGCTTATACTAGCTACTCCCGCGCGGTTGTGGTTTCACCCGTCGCTCGGCTCCATTTAATTCTATTGTGATGTTTTATAGCCTATAGCACTCAGGAACATTGTAGCTATCTATCAGTGAAAGAATTTTGGAAATCCGACCAGCGGTTCCAAAGATTACCCACTTCATACAAACTTACAAATTTTACCTCTTTATAATAATATTATAGTATAGACTAGATTTTGTCCGCGACTTTGTTGCGTGCAGTAGTGACTTCCTCCAGATTTTTGATTCTCTTTTTTCTTCTTTCTCCTTCTAAGAAGAGGTCTTTGCTCAGCAGTGGACACTTATAGGCTTATTGTGAATGATATGTAACTGTGATATTTATTTAATTTCAGATGGGACTACCAACCGGATATTTGTAAAGATTACAAGGAGACCGGCTTCTGTGGTTTTGGAGGTAAGTTCATTTTCAACACTGGCCTGCATTTGCCGCTATCACGCCTGGTGGTAAACGATGATGCGACCTATGATGGAGCACGTCTACCCATAAGCAACCTATTCACTCGGGCCTTGAAGACACCCAGGTTATATACCCTTCGGGGAACACAGACTCTTGAATTCCAATCCTTAGCTTTTCTGATGATGAAAATTTTAGAAGGATCCGTCTCTCGTCTAACAATTTTCCAATATTATTTTGATAGATCTGTAACCTTTAGAGATTTTCTAGTTGGCCATATCAATATATTTTTTTATGTAAAAGGACATACGGGTTGCCTGATGGTAAGCAATCAGCGCCGCCCATAGACAGCCTAAACAACGAAAGAATTACGAGTGCGTTGCCGATCTCTTAGGGATTAGGATTTTGGGGATTTAGGTATAGGGGGAGGGGCAGGATTGGGGCTCCAGTAACCTCACTTACACGGTGAAATAACGCTGTGGTTGTTTCACGCCGGTTTTCTGTGAGGCCGTGGTATCACTCCGGTCGAGACGACCCATTCGTGCCGAAGCTTAGCTCTCCTACCCTTATCAGTGACTAGCTACTGTCCCGCAGTATCACTTCTGCTCAGCTCCTATAGATCATAGCATGATGTTTTATAGCCAAGAGCCTCACTGACTAACAAACACAAAAAATATTATTCAATTTCAACCAGTAGTTTCAAACAAGAGAACTCTTTAGCTTTATAATATTAGTTGATTTTGATTCTGACTAAGCAATCGTGGTGGTTTTTTGCTCATCCTTATGGGAAGAGGCCTTTGCTCAGCAGTAGACATGTATAGGCTGATGATGATAATGTCTATATATTTTCAGACTCCTGCAAGTTCCTCCACGACCGATCAGACTATAAACATGGATGGCAGTTGGAACGGGAGGAGACGGAGGGCGGAGGGCCGGCTGGAGACTCCGATTATGAAGTGGACAGTGATGATGAACTGCCTTTTCGATGCTTCATATGTAGGAACAGCTTCACTGATCCTGTTGTCACTAAGTAAGTTTTAATATCATCACTAGCTTTGGCCCGCGATTCCGTTCGCGTGAAATAATGACTTCCTGCAGATTCTTGGTATAAAAACTATCCTATATCCTTTCACGAGTTCCAAACTATGTCTGTACAAAATATCACAGATATAGGTACAGTAGTTTAGGCGTGAAGAAAAGACAGACAGACAGAGTTACTTGCGCATTTATAATATTAGTACAGAAGATTGGTAGGAATACCATGAGTAGGTACATCTTAGGTGGCGTTCATAATAATATGATCAGAATACTGAAAGGTCACACGTTGTCAAAATGCTACGGTAGGTAGGTAAGTATCCGGTATACTTACTTGTAAAAAGACACTTAACGAAGCCGAAAGCCACGTATTCTACCCATTATTTGGATTATTTTCTTTAAGACCATAGCTGGGACTCCACGGGTTCTCGAGATATTGAAGGTCAAAGATGAAGAAGAATTTTTAAATTATTATTTTTTGCGCAATCGAATTCTAAGTATTATTTCAAAACTTTTATCCAAACAAACATTACCTAAATTTTCGATTTTTCTAAATAAATTACGAATTTGAAGTTACGAACAGTAATGTACGTAATAAATAAATGCAGACCCGCACAAAAAACATCGTGCATCTCAGTAGGATTTTTATTTTACAGAATTGTTTTGTTGTTGCGAAGTAAAACGTCGACCTACGTACTTATCACAGCGTTTTCATGCTAAGCTGTGAACCTACTGTGTTTGCTTTACATTGCGCGCAATATTTTTTTTTTTTTTGATACCTTAAAATAAAAGTCGCTTCCCAGTGATAATTTTAGCGTAAAGCTACTTAGTTAGAACTGCAGTATGCGTAGTTAACGGCTTCGTTAAGTGTCTTTTTACACCCTGTATGTAACGTGTGACTACCCTCCTTTTGCTTTGTCGTAGTCGGGTAAAAAACTATGAAGTGATTGATATATTTGCTACTTTCTGTAGCATGCCCGGTGATAAATAAATTATTTTTCTTTCTTTCTTTCAGATGTAAACACTATTTCTGTGAAAAATGTGCCCTAGAAAACTACAAGAAGACAACTCGGTGTTTCATATGCAATGCGCAAACTAGTGGCGTCTTCAACCCAGCTAAGGAGTTGGAGGCTAAGCTGACAAGGAAACAGAGTGATGATGAAGATAATGATGATGATGATGACGATGATGATGATGATTGATCAATAAAGATGATTAAAATAATATTGTGTTTATTTTTCTGTACCTAGTTGCTTCTATGACAGTAAAATAGGGTCAAGAAATGTTTAAGTGTGGGAGAGTCATACTTCGGCACGAATGGGTCGGCTCGACCGGAGTGATACCACAGCCTCACAGAAAAACGGCGTGAAATAACCAAAGATTTGTGTTTCGCCGTGTGAGTGAGGTTACCGGAGACCCAATCCTTCCCCTGCCCTAATCCCCAAAAGGTCGACAACGCACTCGTAACTCCTCCGTCGTTGCGGCTGTCCATGGGCGGCGCTGATTGCTTTCCATCAGGTAATCCGTTTGCTCGTTTGCCGACCTATCACATAAAAAAATAAATATTTCTTGTACATGAACTAAATAGTGAGTGTCTGTTTTTGAATAGAAACTATCGTTATTCTTTTTAGTACATTTTGTATGTATCATCATCATATCAGCCACAGGACGTCCACTGCTGAACATAGTCCTTCCCCATTGACTTCCAGATAGGCCGGTTGGAAGCGACCTGCATCCAGCGGCTTCCTGCGACCTTAATCAGGTCGTCTGTCCACCTTGCGGGTGGACGTCCTACGCTGCGCTTGCCGGTACGTGGCCTCCACTCGAGAACCTTTCTGCCCCAGCGGCCGTCGGTTCTACGCGCTATGTGCCCTGCCCATATATGTATGTATATCGTGATACATTTAAAATAACGGCTTACTAACATGAATTAACTGCGAAAAGCTCTACTACTTTCAAGTCACAGCGGGGCTTTAGAAGAAAAAAAGCATAGAGTTGGGTCTGTCGATATTCGGGAACTTTTGTTTTATTTAACCGCGAAATAATGTCAGGTAATTACATAATTTTATAATGACCAACCTTTTTCTTATCCTGAATGGGGATGGTGATTAATTATTCCCAAATCACCACTCGGTTAAGTTACATGTTCATTAACTATTATATCGTAGGTATACGGGGATAATGAAATAATCAGCGAAAAATTAACAAGTCTGATAGCCAGATTTTTACACGGGCATGTAGAAAAAACTAGAGTATGCAGTCAATTTCCTTTTAATCGATTTGTTCGGTCATTATTTATAATTTGTAATAAAATATCGATTTGCAATCGGTAGCCATTTTTGTATACCTACTCAACTATATTGTAATGCCGGCCGCTGGCGGGGAAATACATTCGCAATGGGTAAGTTTTTTTTGTGTATTTAGACGATAATTTTTATCAACAATGTCAGCGTATAGTTCAATAATCGTCGACAGAGAATATTTTGACAGAATTTGCTATAATCCCCATACCTGGCACTCCTGGCAGACGGGTTGGGGATCGTAGCTACATCACCAGTATCTTAGCAATCGAGCCAACTTAGTAATGTACCGAATAATTTGTATGAGTAACTGATTTAAAAGAGTAGGTTAACCATGGAGTTTCTTGCTCATTCTTCTCTAAATCTACACTTTGGAACGAGCAAATAGCTTCACTAAGAGGACTGAACGACAGACCGACACTTTTTATCTTTGACGTTCAAAAGTACCTACCTGTGAAGGTCTTATTGATTTTGACTCTGACTTTGTCAGCACTAAAGTGCCTACGGCTAAGCAAATGCCTCTTCTCACACTGAGAAGATTAATTGAGCCACCACGCTTGCTCAAGGCGTATTGGCGATTTCAAACTTAATTTTAGAAATTGCAATTCCAGGTTTCCTCACGATGTTTTCCTTCACCGTATGGCAGTGGTGTCAAATAAGCCACATTAGTACTAGCCAGGTTTCGAACCCGAACCCTCCTGCTCGAGAAGCGGGTTCCTGTAGTCTAGGTTTAAACCACTGAGTAAGGTTTTGTATTCTGAATCTTAATACATTAAATGGTGGAGAAATTTAGTATTAGCAATGCACGTGTGGTACCCACTCGTAAGCCATAGCGGATCGCAGTACTAAAACAAATCGAATATGATTGTCAACAATCAGCAGCAGTTTATTACTTATTCTTAGAAAAAAATGTATGGTACATAACTATCTCTAAAATTATTATTATTAAGTAGAAACTCTTTCTAATTTCTATAGGTACCTACTATTTTCCTATTTGAAATGCATCATATACCTACCTCCTTATTACAAAACAAGATTCAACTTTCGTCTCGATTTAAAAGGTAGGTGACCTTTGTTGCCTCGCCTTAACCTTCTTTGTGTGAGAAGAGGCCTTTGCTCAGCAGTGGGGACTAAATCACTGATAATGATGATGAAGTGTTTAACCATGCTTCATGGTGGATATCACATCCAAACGCACGAAACATATAACCAAGATATAACCAAGATGTCTTCAAGGCCCGAGTGAATAGGTCGCTTATGGGTAGGCGTGCTCCATCGTAGGTCGCATCACCGCTTACCACCAGGCGTGGTAGGGTTTGTGACGTAGCAGTCAACCATTAGTTCATTCGAATATAAACTGTATCTCTGGAGAGTAGGAGGTATTAATAAACGGTACGTGTGACCATTAACATCTTGTTTGATTTGTCTAAATCCCGTCCTTACATGGCGACCCTGCCATTTAAGGTTCGGTGTCGATTTCCGGACTCTGTAGATCGCGTAGTAAAACAATGGTACAAATAATTATATTGCGTTACTGTACGGACAAAGTGGATTTGGTGCATAAAACTAGCAATGGGAAAATCGCCGAGTAGAGAAGAAATTGTAATCGCGTAAAACAGCTGATGTGGCCCTACTGCATAAAAATCAATCGATAACTAACTTAATACTGGGGGTGATATTGATTATCCTCCTTTTACAAAATCCTAATAAGTACAGGGCTTGAAAAAAAGATGATGTAACCAAATAACTTGAATAAGAGTATTTTTTTTATTTTTTGGTGTCGTGTGGGAAAATCCTCATGGAGACCCACCGCCCTTTTGGTAAGGGCGAAGGGTACTGTCAGACTCTTACTGACTAAAAACCAACTCGAAGCATTCGTCGCAACCCCCCGACGGGTATTGGCCCGCCAGATGGTAAGGCGGGCCCCGTCACCCACTGCGGCCGTCACCCCGACCGCAGGACTCCACTATGAGGCGCGCGCGGAACACGGCGCCGCCGCCTCGAGGCCTGCTGCTGGTCGGACGACTAGACGCCCCGAGTCTGTCGTCCGCAGGCCGCGCCCTACGGTGGCCGCAGGTCGGCCACTCTACGACGTCTAGTGCGTCGGCTGCGGGAGGGAAAAGAGGAGACAGCCTCTCTCTCCCTTTCCGCCGCCTCCTTTGCGAGCATCACGGCCTCGCAAAAGATAGCGACGGCACTACACCCTGACTCGCTCCCGACCATAGTAGACACTACAGCCGGAAGCGAGAGATTGAATAAGAGTATTTTGCCTCACTAACGCATTGGATTAGTCTGTAATGTTAGTGTTAAGGATGATAAATAAATAAATAAATAAATAAAAATCTTTCTTACATTTTCAGATATCCGGCTGATATTTCTGCTTCTCTATTCAAGAAATGTCCTAGCTTTGGAAGTGTCTGGAACTCCTCTAAATCCATGTGCTCACCCCGAATTTAATGCCGTTCCCCACGAGAAATACTGCCATTCATATTATTACTGTAAAGACGGCTTAGTATTAGTGGGACGATGCGAAAAAGACTATGTCTTCGATAATAATACATTTGTAAGTATTAAGAGAATGTTTTTAACGAACTTACTAGGTATCGTAAGATATCATCATCATCATCAGCCTATTAGTGCCCACTGCTGAGCAAAGGGTTCTTCTCACACGGAGAAGGTTAGGGCATTAATCACCACGCTTGCTCAATGCAGGTTGGTGATTTCAAACTTATAATTAGAAATTATAATTCCAGGTTTCCTCACGATGTTTACCTTCACCGTATGTCAGTGGTGTCTAAATAATCATAGAAAGTACATATAACTCAGAAAAAGTCACATTGGTACTTGCCAGGTTTCGAATCCGCACCCTCATGCATGAGAAGCGGGCGCCTTAACCTCCGGGCCACCACGACTTTGACATCGTAAGATCTAAATATGTTGACCTTGACGTTAACTTCTTTTTCGTATCTTTGCCTAAACATTACACTGTTCTCACATATCAGAACCGACTAAATGATGTAACAAAGAAATGTGTTGCAAAACTGATTGAAAAAAAGTAACCATGGAGTTTCTTGCTCGTTCTTCTCTATAGGAATCTACACTTTGGAACGAGCAAATAGCTTGACTAGAGGACAGACAGACAGACTGACACGCATAAAGTTAAGCCACTTGAAATATATTTTTTCTTTTGTTTTGCTTGACGGTCAAAAGTGCCTACTGTGGTCTATTTGAAATATTTTTTTTATGTCATAGGACGGCAAACGAGCAGACGGATTACCTGATGGTAAGCAATCAACGCCGCCCATGGACACAAACAAAGAAGGAGTTACGAGTGCGTTGCCGACCTTTTAGGGATTGGGATTTTGGGGATTTAGGGATTGGGGTAGGGAAAGTATTGGGCCTCCGGTAACCTCACTCACATGGCGAAACACAACGTTGTGGTTGTTTCACACCGGTTTTCTGTGAGGCCGTGGTATCACTCCGGTCGAGCCGACCCATTCGTGCCGAAGCATGGCTCTCCCACACAAATGATTGCGACTTTGACTTTGAAATATTTATATAAAGATAAGTTGTGTACGTCAGCGTTACAGCTTGCGAGGCAAGCGATAACGTAAGGCGGCCTCGGTCTAGATTAGAGAAGGCACGAGGTGGTTTTTAATCAGTGCGAGACTGACTCTCCCTCTCAACTCATTCTGCTTGAGAAGGAGTGTCAGACTTTACAATACTTTTACCAAATCGTCAAAAGAAGCGGTTATTTTCAATGAATTTTTAATTTAAGAAATAGCAATTTGTTACGTTTTTATTTATAAGTCTTTTGTTGAATTATCAAAAGAAAAATCTCGGCATAAGGTGATCCTTTTTTAGCCGCTTATATTTTGACTGCACGGTTGGTGCGGTGACTGGGCAACTGGCTGCCGTGCAATGTGTCGTGGGTTCGATTCCCGCCCGGAACAACTCTTTGTGTGATCTACAAATTGTTGTTCCGTGTCTGGGTGTGATGCGTATGTGAAATTGTATGTTTGTAACCGCACTCACGACACAGGACAAAATCCTAATGTGGAGCAACGATTTATAAAAGAAAAAAATCTAATTCAGCGCAAATACCACTACAATTTTTTTCTAGGCGTGTCTACCTCAACAATTGGCAAACTGTCAAGAATCAACTGGTGGTGGTAGTGGTGCTGCCATAATGCCATTGACTTCTACTGTATTCGACACCATACCACCTTGTGGAACTGAAGATATGTGGGCCAGACCTGACATACGGGACTGCAGCAGTTCCTACATGTGTATTTATGGGGAAGTCATGAAATTGCGATGTCCTGAAGGCACTGAATACAGTCAAAGGAAAGAGGTAAGAGGAGGGGTATTTTTATACGATAGGACGAGCTTATGGATTACCTGATGGTAAGCAATCGGCGACGCCCATGAAGATCTGCAACTGTAGTGGAGTTACGAGTGCGTTGCCGGCCGTATTTTAGAGATAAGGGTCTCGCAAATTGAGGGGTTAGGGGAGGTAACCTCACTCACATGGCGAAACACAACGCTATGGTTGTTTCATGCCGGTTTTCTCTAAGGCCGTGGCACTCGGTCGAGCCGGCCCATTCGTACCGAAGCATGGCTCTCCACACTTAGAATTGGGTCGTTTTCTAGGCCAAAAATAAATTAAAACGACGTTTCAATACAATAAAATATTGAAAAATAAATGTTAAGAAATAAGTAAACTATTTGACACATAAATACTTTGATTGTCATAACTCAGTTTTTCATACAAATTTGTTCTGTATTCTGAGCAAATTTCATAGAAAAGTATCGTTTTTAACATTTGGATAAAAGTATTGAATTTGACAAGTTGGAAACTACCGTATTATGAAACAATTACAAAAATTAAACTCAATGTCTAGCATATCTTCAACTTCTCTCTTTCCATTACAGTCATGTGTGCCTGTAGGAGAATCTGGTTGGGTAGCGACACCACCTCCTTTGCCAAAATGCGGACCAGACGATGAGTGGTCCGTTGGCGATGACACAGATTGCACGTTCTTGTACGAGTGCGTTCGAGGACAGGTGGCCAGAGCACAGTGCCCCAAAGGGTATTATTACGACGATGTTGAAGTAAGTCCTTACAAAAAAAAAACTAAGCTTTGTAGCTGTCAAGCCCATGTTGCGAGAGCAGAAGTAGAAGGAACGGGGTTCATTTTAGTCTGTAAGAGACGTGACACTCACTCTCGCTCCATGAACTTCTGCCCAGCAGAAGTAGTTGTTTGGTCCTCTGAGAAGTTCTCCAGGAACATTACTCACAAGGCGTAACTTAATAGGTTTATTGGAAGCCGGTTTTATGTGAACAGTGGTCAAGCCGGCCCATTCGTAAGCATAGCTCACCCACACGTTTATTATATTAATAGCCTATGATCACATTTTAACTAAGTAAATATATATAAGATTATTTAATTTTAATCCTAGCAATATATTTTTAGATTTGCATACCACGGGAAAGATCCACCTGCAAAGAAAAACATAATTTCAAAACGACTACTAGGCAAGAAACAACAGCATCCACTATCACACTGACACCTTCTACCAGAGCAGATACAACTCCTGCCACCACTTCAGAGACAACACCTATCGCCACTTCAGAGACAATACCTTTCACCACTTCAGAGACAACTCCTTCCGCTAGCTCAGAGACAACACCTTCAACCAGCACAGAGACAACCCCTACCAATACTTCTGAGACCACACCTGACACCACTTCAGAGACAACTTCTTCCACAAGCTCGGAGACAACCTTTTCCACAAGCTCAGTCACAACACCTTCAACCAGCACAGAGACAACCTCTACCACCACTTCAGAGACAACACCAGTCACCACTTCAGAGACAACAACTGTCACCAGCGAAGAGAGAAAATTTTCCACCAGATCAGATACAACTCCTACCACGACCTCAGATACAACAGCTAACAGCAGCTCAGACAGAACACGTCGTGCAACCAATTCAGAAGCATCAGCATCAACCACAATAGAAACTTCACCTTCAGATAGAGCATCCACGAACACGAAGACAACACGCGCTTCCAGTACAGAAATAACCAGTAGACATTATCCATTATCAACACCAAAATCGAGAAGAGATGAGGAAGATAAACGCTCTCAAGCAACACGAGTTACACCACCAATAATAAATCCAATACCTCCATGCACACATATCGACGCCTGGCTAAGACCCCACGCGCCAGATTGCAACCGATTTCTGCTTTGCCTTTTTGGGAAACTGACTAGCGAGACGTGCTCGCCGACTTTTCACTTTAGTCCAGTTACTTTGGTGAGTTATTGTTTTTTACAAGTCAATGTTAAATCATTTATTTCAAATAGATCTCTATAGGCACTTTTGAATGTCAAACATAAAATAAATATCGATATGTTCCACTATGTGTGTCAGTCTGTCCTCTAGAGAAGCTAAGAGAGCTACTCATGCCTCAGGACGTGGGTTCGGAACCTGGCGACAAAGTACCGAAGTGACTTTTCCGAGTTCTATGTACTTTCTATGATTATTAAGACACCACTGACATATGGTGAACGAAAACATCGTGAAGAAACTAGGACTTATAATTTCTAATTATAAGTTTGAGATCACCAATCCACCTTGAGCAAACCTTTTCCATGTGAGAAGTGGCCTTTGCTCAGCAGTGGCTATTTGAAGGCTGATGATGATGAAGTTTAGATGTTTTGATGAGGCAAACAATCAGACGTATGTAGTTAGCACCATATCGAAAAACCTCAGTAAATCAGGCCTACTTGCAAACATCCGTACGTTTTTTTTATATAAACGTTGCCCCACATTATTATTTTCTCCTGTGTCGTGGGTGCTGTTACAAACATACATTTTTACATAATATACACCACACCCAGATCCGGAACTACAATTTGTGGATCTCAGAGTTGTTCCGTGCGGGAACCGAATCCGCGACACGTTGCACGGCAGCCAGTTGCCCAGCCACCGCACCAACCGTGCAGTCAAAAGTTTCAAATAACTCAAATAGTCCTACACATGCTGTGATTTCTGTACCTGATCATTGAACTCAAAACTTTTTTTTTTTTAATGTAATATGTCGGCAAGCGAGCAGACGGATTACCTGATGGTAAGCAATCAGCGCCGCCCATGGACACCCGCAACGGAGGAGTTACAAGTGCGTTGCCGACCTTTTAGGGATTAGGGATTTGGAGATTTAGGGATTGAGGGAGGCTAAGGATTGGGCCTCCGGTAACCTCACTCACACTGCGAAACAAAACGCTGTGGTTGTTTCACGCCGGTTTTATGTGAGGCCGTGGTATCACTCCGGTCGAGCCGACCCATTCGTGCCGAAGCATGGCTCTCCCACACTTGAACTAACTCTACCATTAAGCTTCAATTTATCCAGTAAATTACTAAATGTACGATTCCAAGCATTTACAAAGTTCACTCGTATACATAAGTATACATATCTTTTCAGCAATGTCTACCGGCAGCTGAAGCGAAATGTGAATACGTTCTGCCTACTACTAGTATACCTATCACCAGTACAGAGACAACACCCACCACCAGTTCAGCAACAACACCATCTACCAGCACAGAGACAAAACCTGTTACCAGTACAGAGACAACCCCGGCAGCCACCAGTACAGAGACAACCCCAGCGGCCACCAGCTCAGAGACAACCCCGGCAGCCACCAGTACAGGGACTACGCCTTCTACCAGCTCTGAGACAACCCCGCTAGCCACCAGTACAGAGACAACGCCTTCCACCAGCTCAGAAACAACACCATCCACCATAATAGAGACAACCCCGGTGGCCACAAGTACAGAGATAACCCCAGTGGCCACCAGTACAGGGACAACGCCTTCCGGCAGCTCAGAGACAACATCATCCGCCAGAACAAAGACAACCCCAGCGGCCATCAGTTCAGAGACAACCCCGGCAGCCACCAGTACAGAGACAACGCCTTCTACCAGCTCAGAGACAACCCCGGCGGTCACCAGTACAGAGACAACCTCGGCAGCCACCAGTACAGAGACAACGCCTTCTACCAGCTCAGAGACAACACCATCCGCAAGAACAAAGACAACCCCGGCAGAAACAAGTACAGAGACAAGCCCGGCGGCCACCAGTACAGAGACAACGCCTCCCACCAGGTCAGAGACAACCCCGGCGGCCACCAGAACAGAGACAACCTCGGCAGCCACCAGTACAGAGATAACGCCGGCAGCCACCAGTACAGCGACAACGCCTTCAACCAGCTCAGAGACAACAACTTCTACCAGCTCAGAGACAACCACGGCGGCCACCAGTACAGAGACAACGCCTTCCGCCAGCTCAGAGACTACACCTGCCACCAGCTCAAAGACAACACCTTCTACAGAGTCAACATCACAGGCTAGTTCAGAAACAACGCCTTCAACAAGCTCAGAGACAACACCTTCTACCAGCTCAGACACAACCCCTGCAGCCACCAGTACAGAGACAACCACCCCTGCAGCCACCAGTACAGAGACAACCCCGGCAGCCACCAGTACAGAGACAACTCCGGCAGCCACCAGTTCAGAGACAACCACCCCTGCAGCCACCAGTACAGAGACAACCCCGGCAGCCACCAGTACAGAGACAACTCCGGCAGCCACCAGTTCAGAGACAACCACCCCTGCAGCCACCAGTACAGAGACAACTCCGGCAGCCACCAGTACAGAGACAACTCCGGCAGCCACCAGTACAGAGACAACTCCGGCAGTCACCAGTACAGAGACAACTCCGGCAGCCACCAGTACAGAGACAACCGCCCCTGCAGCCACCAGTACAGAGACAACCCCGGCAGCCACCAGTACAGAGACAACTCCGGCAGCCACCAGTTCAGAGACAACCACCCCTGCAGCCACCAGTACAGAGACAACTCAGGCAGCCACCAGTACAGAGACAACGCCGGCAGCCACCAGTACAGAGACAACCCCGGCAGCCACAAGTACAGAGACAACTCCGGCAGCCACCAGTACAGAGACAACTCCGGCAGCCACCAGTACAGAGACAACTCCGGCAGCCACCAGTACAGAGACAACTCCGGCAGCCACCAGTACAGAGACAACTCCGGCAGCCACCAGTACAGAGACAACTCCGGCAGCCACCAGTACAGAGACAACTCCGGCAGCCACCAGTACAGAGACAACTCCGGCAGCCACCAGTACAGAGACAACCACCCCTGCAGCCACCAGTACAGAGACAACTCCGGCAGCCACCAGTACAGAGACAACCCCGGCAGCCACCAGTACAGAGACAACTCCGGCAGCCACCAGTACAGAGACAACTCCGGCAGCCACCAGTACAGAGACAACCACCCCTGCAGCCACCAGTACAGAGACAACTCCGGCAGCCACCAGTACAGAGACAACCCCGGCAGCCACCAGTACAGAGACAACTCCGGCAGCCACCAGTACAGAGACAACTCCGGCAGCCACCAGTACAGAGACAACTCCGGCAGCCACCAGTACAGAGACAACCACCCCTGCAGCCACCAGTACAGAGACAACTCCGGCAGCCACCAGTACAGAGACAACTCCGGCAGCCACCAGTACAGAGACAACCACCCCTGCAGCCACCAGTACAGAGACAACCCCGGCAGCCACCAGTACAGAGACAACCACCCCTGCAGCCACCAGTACAGAGACAACCACCCCTGCAGCCACCAGTACAGAGACAACCCCGGCAGCCACCAGTACAGAGACAACCACCCCTGCAGCCACCAGTACAGAGACAACCACCCCTGCAGCCACCAGTACAGAGACAACCCCGGCAGCCACCAGTACAGAGACAACTCCGGCAGCCACCAGTTCAGAGACAACCACCCCTGCAGCCACCAGTACAGAGACAACTCCGGCAGCCACCAGTACAGAGACAACCACCCCTGCAGCCACCAGTACAGAGACAACCCCGGCAGCCACCAGTACAGAGACAACCACCCCTGCAGCCACCAGTACAGAGACCACCACCCCTGCAGCCACCAGTACAGAGACCACCACCCCTGCAGCCACCAGTACAGAGACAACCCCGGCAGCCACCAGTACAGAGACAACCACCCCTGCAGCCACCAGTACAGAGACCACCACCCCTGCAGCCACCAGTACAGAGACAACCCCGGCAGCCACCAGTACAGAGACAACTCCGGCAGCCACCAGTTCAGAGACAACCACCCCTGCAGCCACCAGTACAGAGACAACTCCGGCAGCCACCAGTACAGAGACAACTCCGGCAGCCACCAGTACAGAGACAACTCCGGCAGTCACCAGTACAGAGACAACTCCGGCAGCCACCAGTACAGAGACAACCGCCCCTGCAGCCACCAGTACAGAGACAACCCCGGCAGCCACCAGTACAGAGACAACTCCGGCAGCCACCAGTTCAGAGACAACCACCCCTGCAGCCACCAGTACAGAGACAACTCAGGCAGCCACCAGTACAGAGACAACGCCGGCAGCCACCAGTACAGAGACAACCCCGGCAGCCACAAGTACAGAGACAACTCCGGCAGCCACCAGTACAGAGACAACTCCGGCAGCCACCAGTACAGAGACAACTCCGGCAGCCACCAGTACAGAGACAACTCCGGCAGCCACCAGTACAGAGACAACTCCGGCAGCCACCAGTACAGAGACAACTCCGGCAGCCACCAGTACAGAGACAACTCCGGCAGCCACCAGTACAGAGACAACTCCGGCAGCCACCAGTACAGAGACAACCACCCCTGCAGCCACCAGTACAGAGACAACTCCGGCAGCCACCAGTACAGAGACAACCCCGGCAGCCACCAGTACAGAGACAACTCCGGCAGCCACCAGTACAGAGACAACTCCGGCAGCCACCAGTACAGAGACAACCACCCCTGCAGCCACCAGTACAGAGACAACTCCGGCAGCCACCAGTACAGAGACAACCCCGGCAGCCACCAGTACAGAGACAACTCCGGCAGCCACCAGTACAGAGACAACTCCGGCAGCCACCAGTACAGAGACAACTCCGGCAGCCACCAGTACAGAGACAACCACCCCTGCAGCCACCAGTACAGAGACAACTCCGGCAGCCACCAGTACAGAGACAACCCCGGCAGCCACCAGTACAGAGACAACTCCGGCAGCCACCAGTACAGAGACAACTCCGGCAGCCACCAGTACAGAGACAACCACCCCTGCAGCCACCAGTACAGAGACAACTCCGGCAGCCACCAGTACAGAGACAACCCCGGCAGCCACCAGTACAGAGACAACTCCGGCAGCCACCAGTACAGAGACAACTCCGGCAGCCACCAGTACAGAGACAACCACCCCTGCAGCCACCAGTACAGAGACAACTCCGGCAGCCACCAGTACAGAGACAACCCCGGCAGCCACCAGTACAGAGACAACTCCGGCAGCCACCAGTACAGAGACAACTCCGGCAGCCACCAGTACAGAGACAACTCCGGCAGCCACCAGTACAGAGACAACTCCGGCAGCCACCAGTACAGAGACAACTCCGGCAGCCACCAGTACAGAGACAACTCCGGCAGCCACCAGTACAGAGACAACCACCCCTGCAGCCACCAGTACAGAGACAACTCCGGCAGCCACCAGTACAGAGACAACCCCGGCAGCCACCAGTACAGAGACAACTCCGGCAGCCACCAGTACAGAGACAACTCCGGCAGCCACCAGTACAGAGACAACCACCCCTGCAGCCACCAGTACAGAGACAACTCCGGCAGCCACCAGTACAGAGACAACCCCGGCAGCCACCAGTACAGAGACAACTCCGGCAGCCACCAGTACAGAGACAACTCCGGCAGCCACCAGTACAGAGACAACTCCGGCAGCCACCAGTACAGAGACAACCACCCCTGCAGCCACCAGTACAGAGACAACTCCGGCAGCCACCAGTACAGAGACAACTCCGGCAGCCACCAGTACAGAGACATCTCCGGCAGCCACCAGTACAGAGACAACTCCGGCAGCCACCAGTACAGAGACAACTCCGGCAGCCACCAGTACAGAGACAACTCCGGCAGCCACCAGTACAGAGACAACTCCGGCAGCCACCAGTACAGAGACAACTCCGGCAGCCACCAGTACAGAGACAACCCCGGCAGCCACCAGTACAGAGACAACTCCGGCAGCCACCAGTACAGAGACAACCCAGACTGCCACCAGTGCAGAGACAACGCCTTTCCCCAGCCCAGAGACAACACCTTCTACCAGCTCAGAGACCACGCCTATCACTAACTCAGACACCACACCAGCCACCAGCTCAGAGACAACCCCGGTGGACACCAGTGCAGAGACAACGCCTTTAACCAGCCCAGAGACAACACCTTCTACCAGCTCAGAGACCACGCCTATCACTAACTCAGACACCACACCAGCCACCAGCTCAGAGACAACCCCGGTGGACACCAGTGCAGAGACAACGCCTTTAACCAGCCCAGAGACAACACCTTCTACCAGCTCAGAGACAACCCCGGTGGCCGTAAGTACAGAGAGAACGCCTTCAACTAGCTCAGAAAGCACAGCCGCAACCAGAACAGAGGCGACGCCTTCTACCAGCTCAGAGACAAAACCTTCCACCACCTCAGGGACAACACCATCTGCTAGAACTAAAACAACTCCGTCGGCCACAAGTGCAGAGACAACGCCTTCAACCAGTTCAGAGACCATACCTTCTACCAGCTTAGAGACTACACCTTCTACTAGCTCAGACACGACGCCTATCACTAGCTCAGACACCACAGCTGCCATCAGCTCTGCGACAACATCTTTAACCATCTCAGACACAACCCCGCCGGCCACCAGTACAGAAACAACCTCGGCAGCCACCAGTACAGAGACAACCCCGGCAGCCACCAGTGCAGAAACAACCCCGGCAGCCACCAGTACAGAGACAACCCCGGCAGCCACCAGTGCAGAGACAACCCCGGCAGCCACCAGTACAGAAACAACTCCGGCAGCCACCAGTACAGAAACAACCCCGGCAGCCACCAGTACAGAGACAACCCCGGCAGCCACCAGTACAGAAACAACTCCGGCAGCCACCAGTACAGAGACAACCCCGGCAGCCACCAGTACAGAAACAACCCCGGCAGCCACCAGTACAGAGACAACCCCGGCAGCCACCAGTGCAGAAACAACCCCGGCAGCCACCAGTACAGAGACAACCCCGGCAGCCACCAGTGCAGAGACAACCCCGGCAGCCACCAGTACAGAAACAACTCCGGCAGCCACCAGTACAGAAACAACCCCGGCAGCCACCAGTACAGAGACAACCCCGGCAGCCACCAGTACAGAAACAACTCCGGCAGCCACCAGTACAGAGACAACCCCGGCAGCCACCAGTACAGAAACAACCCCGGCAGCCACCAGTACAGAGACAACCCCGGCAGCCACCAGTACAGAGACAACCCCGGCAGCCACCAGTACAGAGACAACCCCGGCGGCCACCAGTACAGAGACAACCCCGGCAGCCACCAGTACAGGGACAAGGCCTTCAACCAGATCAGAGACAACACCTTCTATCAGCTCAGAGACAACACCTTCCGCCAGCACAGAGACAACACCTTCTACCAGCACAGAGACAACAACTTCTACCAGCACAGACACAACACCTTCTACCAGCACAGAGACAACAACTTCTATGAGCGCAGAGACAACACCTTCTACCAGCACAGAGACGACACCTTCTACCAGCGCAGAGACAACACCTTCATCCAGCTCAGAGACAACACCTTCTACCAGCACGGACAAAACCCCGGCAGCCACAAGAACAGAGACAACGCCTTCTACCAGCACAGAGACAACACCTTCTACCAGCACAGCCACAACACCTTCTACCGGCACAGCCACAACACCTTCTCTCAGCTCAGAGACAACACCTTCTACCAGCACAGAGACAACACCTTCTACCAGCACAGAGACAACACCTTCTACCAGCTCAGAGACAACACCTTCTCTCAGCTCAGAGACAACACCTTCTATCAGCTCAGAGACAACACCGTCTACGAGCACAAAGATCACAGCTGCCACCAGTACAAACACAACGCCTTCAACCAGCTCAGAGACAACACCTTCTACCAGCTCAGAGACAACCTCGGCGTCCACCAGTACAGAGATAACGCCCGCAGCCACCAGTGCAGAGACAACGCCTTCAACCAGCTCAGAGACAACACCTTCTACCAGCTCAGAGACAACACCTTCTACCAGCACAAAGACAACACCTTCTACCAGCTCAGAGACAACACCTTCTACCAGCACAGACACAACACCTTCTACCGGCACAGACACAACACCTTCTACCAGCACAGACACAACACCTTCTACCAGCACAAAGACAACATCTTCTATCAGCGCAGAGACAACACCTTCTACCAGTTCAGAGACAACACCTTCTACCAGCACAGACACAACACCTTCTACCGGCACAGACACAACACCTTCTACCAGCACAGACACAACACCTTCTACCAGCACAGACACAACACCTTCTACCGGCACAGACACAACACCTTCTACCAGCACAGAGACAACACCTTCTACCAGCACAGAGACAACACCTTCTACCAGCACAGCCACAACACCTTCTACCAGCACAGAGACAACACCTTCTACCAGCACAGCCACAACACCTTCTACCAGCACAGAGACAACACCTTCTACCAGCACAGAGACAACACCTTCTACCAGCTCAAAAACAACACCTTCTACCAGCACAGCCAGAACACCTTCTACAAGCACAGAGACAACACCTTCTATCAGCTCAGAGACAACGCCAGCAGCCACAAGTACAGAGACAACCACCCCTGCAGCCACCAGTACAGACGCAACCCGGGCGGCCACCAGTACAGGGACAACGACCGAACAATCCAGGCCGTTTTGTTCGTACAGAGACTTGTGGCTCAGACCCCAATATTCATATAGTAACCGCTTCTTACTTTGTTTGTTCGGGAAATTGACGAGTCAGCTATGCCCTTTGGATTACCAATTCAATCCAGTTGTTTTGGTAAATATTGTGATTTATACTTCTGTTTTTAACACCAACCCTTGTCTTTTTCTTATTTCTTTTGTGTGCGCCGAAATTTTGCTTAACATAATTATTTGTGAAGACACAAAACCCCCAACTATAAATGTAAAACTAGCTTTTCTTCTCAACTTCTTTCGCGTGGAATAGGGTCTTCTAGCAGATTTTTTGGTTTAAAAACTACCCTATGTCCATATATGGGTTCAGTAGTTTAGGCGTGAAGAAAAGAGTCTTTTCTTCAGACAGAGTTACTTTCGCATTAATAATATTATTATTCGTTTGAATTTGGATTAAATCCAGTCAACTGCTCCTTAAACAATTTTCTGTGTAATTCACAATCACATCATTCTGTATATTTTTACAGCTTTGCGAGCCTCCATCTGATGCGAGACGTAACATTGAAACGACAACTTTAACAACTACCACCATAGTAAAGACGACACTAATCACCACTCCAGAGATGACGTCTATCACCACTTCAGAGACAACACCAATCACCACTTCAGAGACAACACCAATCACCACTTCAGAGACAGCACCTGTTCATCTACCTGAATGTAGTTTTAGAGACATGTGGTTTGTTCCTGACCCGTACGATTGTGAATTCTTCCACTTGTGTTTGTTCGGTGAGATATTGTATGACCAATGCCCTGAAGGTACAGAAGCTAGTCCAGATACATTTGTAAGTATTGAGGAGTTGATAATTCCATTTTCACTACTTTTTACACTATGATTGAATAGTTACTATCATGAGACATACCATTATATTAAAAATAACGACTCACTCACGGAAATTAAATAAGATATGCCGAGCCGATTTTAAGTGCGGAGAGCCATGCTTCAACACGTATGGGTTGGATCGACCGCTGTGATACCACGACCTTACAGAAAACCGGCGTGAAACAAACACAACGTTGTATTTCTCTGTGTGGGTGAGGTTACTGGAAGCCCAATCCGTTTCCTCCCCCAATACCAACATCTCCAAACCCCCAATCCCCAAAAGTTCAACAACGCACTCGTAATTCCTCCAATTTTGCGGGTGTCCATGGGTGGCGCTGATTGCTTACCATCAGGTAATGCGTCTTTTAGTTTGTCCGTCTATCAAATAAAAATAATCCGTCGTCACAGACCCAGCGTGTTAATATTTCCATCATTTGTTTGATAACTAATATTGACCTGACCCATTTTATTTTCCACTATTTAATAGATGTCATTATACATACAAACCTTCGTCTTCAATCACTCTTATCCATAAAAAATCCACATCAAAATCCGTCTCGTAGTTTTGCGCACAGGGACAGAGAAAGCGACTTTGTTTTATACTATGCAGTGATGATATCATTTTTTACAGGCATGTCTACCAAAAGAATTGGCTGGATGTAGCAATGAGAGCAAATCTATTCAAAATACTACGGCTTCAAGTGTCATAGGTCCCGTCCCGTATTGCGCTAGATATGACATATGGATAGAGTCTGATGGGAATGACTGCGGAAAGTACTATATTTGCACATTTGGACATCTATCCCATGAAAAATGTCCGGCAGACTTCAGATTTAGTGCTTCGGAAAGAGTTAGTATAATTTTTGCATCTTAAGACATACTGTATATGTAAGAGCCCACTGTTGAGCAAAAGGCCTTTTCTCACTTGACGAAGATTTTATCATTAATCACCACACTAACTCAAGACGCAATAATAATAGAGATTTGAAACGTATAATTAAAACTCAAAAATCGTGCCTTTGGTTTTTTACCTAGCAACCTTACATCTAGCATTCTGTAATTTGTAAAAGTCATATTGGTACTTACTTTCACAGTTTCGTACCCGCACCCCATGCATGAGAAGTGGGCTCCTTACAGTATCATCATCATCATCAGCCTATAAGTGCCCACTGCTGAGCAAAGGCCTTTTCTCACACGGAGAAGGCTAGAGCATTAATCAACACGCTCGCTCATTGCGGATTGGCAATTTCAAACCTATAATTAGTGGTGGTGGTGGTGGTGGTGTCTAAATAATCATAAAAACTACATATAATTCGGAACACGTCACATTGGTACTTGCCAGGTTTTGGACCTACACCCTCGTGCATGAGAAGCGGGCTCCTTAACCTCCGGGCCACCACCACAATGTACCTTTAACCTTATAACCTTACAGTATACTGAATCTAAATAAATTAAATGTGACCAGAAACTGGTGAAACAGCCCTTGCCTTTTGTTTCGCCGTATGAGTGAGGAGTTACCAGAGGCCCAACCGTCCCTCGTATACCTAGTGGGTAGACTTAAATGCCTAATATCTAAAGCCGGCAATTCACTTACAGCCTCTGGTTAAGTGGATGTTAATAGGCACATACAGAGCCGATTGCTTACCATCAGGCTATCTGTCTGCTAGTCTGCATAAGAAACTCTTTAGAGAAACCACATGAAACCATAACAAAAGGTAATTTAAATAAAAATTATTTTCAGGCGTGCTTACCTAAATCACAAGTAGACTGCTCCCAAGAAAACAAGCCTAAATCGAAAGGCTGGAGGGACGCAATCTGTGCGGACTTCACGAATCTTCCTCTGGTCTTCTTAGAAGACCCAAAAGACTGCAGAAGATACTACATTTGTTCTCTAGGAAAATCTACGTTGATGGATTGCCCCGACAATTTCTCATTTAGTGTTGAGAAACAAGTGAGTAAATTTTTTCTACCATTTTCTTTACACCGAATAGAAACGTTCTGTGCATTCCAAGTTTTGCAGTATCATAAAACTGTCAGTAAACAAAGTGGCAAAAATGGGATGATTGATGTTGCAAAATTAATATTTACCACGTATAAGTTGTATTATTTTAATAGCCGTTTAGGTAAATATGCCTATTAAAATAACACCAATTCACATACACCGAATCCCACAACAACTATTTGTGAATCACAAAAAGAGTTGTTCCGTGTCCGTGGAATCGAACCCGCACCGCTGTGTCTCAAATTGTTGAAACTTTACCAATGCAGCGCTAGCAAAAACTGATAATGTGTGTTCTCATATTAACAACCTGTTTTTTGAGGGGGAGGGAGGGGGGAGTTAATCATAAAATAGCTTCTCTCACTCATGTTGAGGCGAGAGAGAGTCTTAGACTCTTACTGACTAAAAACCATCTCGTTCCTTCTCCTGATAGAAACGCAACCCCGGCTAAACATTGACCTCGTTGGGCCCTATCTGAGGTGTGCTAATAACTCTTTGAGGCCCAGGCTGAACGCTATGCGCCGCACGCTCGGGTTTGATTCTGGTCGGGCGAAAAGCTACCGTCTCGAGCTCGCCGTCCGCAGATCACTAACCGGAGATCGTTGACAGTACCTAACAACCTTAATTTCTCTTTTCAGATATGCCTGCCATCAAACCAAGTGCTATGCAAGTCACTGTGTCCATCAGATGCCACCCAATTAGTGGCAGACCCTCAAAATGAGAATCATTATATCATCTGCTACAAGGGATCTCCACTACCACAGCAGTGTCCTCATAAATATGTTTTTGATACCGAACTCTTGGTAAGTCGAAGTAAAAACAACGGCAGGTCTTACACCACCTACAGACACCTACACTTGTCTTGTCAGTCGATTTCCAACTTTATGTATTTTGGTTATTTAGTCAAAAGTTCAATGAAATAATTGACAGGTCGGAGTAGGTTGTCCTGCTGGCGTCTGTTTTTTGATTTCTGGTTTGATGATAGGCTGAGTTAGCCGAGTGATTGTGTGGCTGTCGAGAGTATCAGGTTTATAATATTTTCTCTATCTGAAAAACTGTGTTTTTTCGCAAATGATATTTCTTACTAAAACTGTTTAGTCTTTAAAAACAATACATAAGTCAGACGGCACATGAAGCTAACCATCAAGCTATATTAGGTGACTGTCCTAATGTTTTAGCGTCACTGAGAAAGATAAGTGGATTTACATCACTCTTACTTAACCACAGAATTCATTCTGTTGATTTTTGAGGAGTTCTAAATAATAAATGCCATTCGAATACGAAGATATGCGGTTGCATAAAAAAAACAAAGTCAAATTAAGAACTTTCCTCTTTCCTGAAATCAATGTCAATGGTGATCTTCATCAGAGATTCAACGAATCGATTTAAGAAAGAAGTTCGTTTTCAATATGTCTGATGTTTTTTTGAGGGGTCAACAATTGGCTTTTCCCCTTGGCGGGGCAAGATGGAGTATCAGACTCTTACTGACTTAGGACCACCTCGTTCCTTCTCCAGTTCCAGGACAGGGCCTAGCAGCTGGACATAGCAGTAGTGACCACCTACAGTTTACTAAAATGTAAAATTTTTGTTTCAGACGTGCAGGCTTAAAGCAGAAACAGGAGGCGTAGACTTCAAATTATTAAGATATTTAATTAACTATATTATAAGTTAGCACTATCGCGTCGTCATTGTCAATAGAGACTTCAGATACAAGACAACTGCTGAAAAGAGCCCCCTTAAAGATTTCCAGATCTGATGGAGGAAAGTGACCTAAAGACCTAATGTTCCCGGCAAATGTGTCAATTTCCTTCTCATATAATATTAATAATTTTCAATTCTTCTATGAGAGTTCTCTTCTTCTCCCTAATAAAGAATGGAGATGGTAAATAATAGAAAGATCAAAGTCAAAGACTATCACTTTTGTCAATTAGACCATTAGGTGCAGGCACTTTTGATCGTCAAACAAAGATACATTATAATAAAAATGGTCAGTCCTCTAGTGAAGCTATTTGCTCGTTCTATAATGTAGAACCCAATAGAGAAGAATGAGCTAGAAATGAACATGCGTACTCTTTTTAAATCAGTTTCACAATCTGTGAGTATTTATTATACATTCAAATCTTCCTCTTCAATCATTAAATCTTTTAAAATAAAACCTAAACAAAATCCGTTGTGTAGTTTTAAAGATTTAAGCCTACATAAGGATATAGAGCCAGAGAAAGCAACTTTTTTTATATGTACTATGTAGTGATTTCGTTGATCAAAAATTACAATCGTTTGCGTCAGATAGCACAAATAATTTAAATTCTTTAAAAATAAAATAGTTTGAAAAAATAATTATGACAATCTCATTTATTTTACGATCTTAGTTCTTTTAAATTTTTTTTTAAACAATTTAATTTTTAAAGAACATATTTATTTGTGCTATATGACGCTAAGAAACCTGACGTCACAAAATCGACGAGGTCTAGAAAAAAACATTCTTAAAGGACTGTCAATTTTGTCAGTTCGAAAAAAGCCACTTGAAGCATATTATTCTGAAGTTATGCGCTTGTGATATTGTTAATTAATAGTCGTAAAATAAATGTACCCATTTCTATTAATAAATCAAATATATATTTTGATACACAATAAGTCATTTTATTTCTTGGAATCAAAGAGGCGTGAAATCTAGCTAAGTTCAGTTTATTCGGCTGGTGGTCAGGCCGAATGTCCGGTATCTGGTATCTGGCCAAACAACTATTCGTTGCATCTCTAATATTAACAATTTTAATAGGTACTAAATTAAGTATAGTATATAAGTAAATTAAGTGTAACTATAGTATGTATACTGTAAAAATAAAAAAAAAATAAAAAAAAATATTGATACGCTCACTTCTTAATTTTAAGTCTGTAACTATACTATAATATATATTATAATCGTTACATCATAATATTATCATCAACTATCTCAATCAAGATCTAAATTAAATTAATTAAAACTGGATTTTATCAGCTATATATCTGATAACTCTATGATAAATGAATCAATTTTATTCAATTCGATAATGTTTTCTCATCAATTTTGATCTCATCACTAGCCTCTTCTCATATGGAGAAGATTTGAGCACATAAATATGGAGTTAGTTTTAGATTTTTTGTCAGTCTGATACTTTGTCTCATCTCGCAATAGCAGAAATTACAGGATACGCTTTATAAAAAAAGAAAATACGTGATACCAATCTTCTTACAAAGCTACTTTCGAGATTCCTTTACTCCTATCATAAAGGAGACATGAATTTTTAAATACGTACTTTTTGATGACAAATTGAGCTGAAACAGACTTTCCAGGCCCAATTGCTCGAATTCGGAGGCGGAGCGCGTAAGGGAACTATCCTCCTCACGTCCCAGCCGCTGCGGTAGGCGACATTCCGGGCGTCGACGATCGAGAGACGATCTCCAGCCACCGTAAGCGCGGGCCTGCGGACGGAGTAAGGGTTGCTCGCCGCCCGACCAGATCCAGTCCCGAGCGTACGGCGCGTAGCGTTCCGCGCATGCCTCAAAGAGCTACCACCACAGACGGGGCCCTATAGGGCTGTTGTTCAGCCAGGGTTGCGGGGTAAGCGCAATGAGGCACCACGACCTCGACCCAGAGCAGGAGAAGGAACAGGGGGGTTTTTAGTCAGTAAGAGTCTGACACTATGGGCGGGAGAAGTCATTTGATGATTTTCCCCTCACAAAAAAAACCTAAGACCTCGTGATTCGTGGGATTAATGACTAAACGAACAATATAGAATAAAGATAAGATACTGTAATATTATCTTCTGAAACTATTAATTAAGATTAGAAATCTTTCTGACAAGAGTATTGATGTACAATTTATTAGTGTCCGGTTAAGAAGGTTGATGAGACTGTTAAAATCGTTTGTAGGAGAAAGGTTTTCATACCGTTACAATCTTCCAAGACCACTTCAACTCCAGCAGTGTGATTCTGTAAGACTTCATTCTAAACTTCGAATCTGAATCCGCCGTGAGTTGTAGTACACTAGCGCTACACTTGCGAGTTGAACTAAATTGACAGCATCATTTTGAAAGATAAAGTATGAAATGACGTTAAAAGTGACATTCTAAAATTTAATTTACCCGTCACTTCGACGCTCACTTCGCACTCGACCACGATTCAAAATCAAACAAATTTTATAGAATCGACATGCTGTAGTAGATAGCCTTGATCTGCAGTAGACACAACCATGCAAATACCTAAACACTGTAGTCGGGCATGTTCCAGGGACATGACGTCAGTCAGTCAGTTTAAGTGTGGGAGAGCAATGCTTCGGCACGAATGGGTCGGCTCGACCGGAATGATACCACGGCCTCACAGTAAACCGGCGTGAAACAAAGTAGATAGCCTTGATCTGCAGTAGGCACAACCATGCAAATACCTAAACACTGTAGTCGGGCATGTTCCAGGGACATGACGTCAGTCAGTCAGTTTAAGTGTGGGAGAGCAATGCTTCGGCACGAATGGGTCGGCTCGACCGGAATGATACCACGGCCTCACAGTAAACCGGCGTGAAACAAAGTAGATAGCCTTGATCTGCAGTAGACACAACCATGCAAATACCTAAACACTGTAGTCGGGCATGTTCCAGGGACATGACGTCAGTCAGTCAGTTTAAGTGTGGGAGAGCAATGCTTCGGCACGAATGGGTCGGCTCGACCGGAATGATACCACGGCCTCACAGTAAACCGGCGTGAAACAAAGTAGATAGCCTTGATCTGCAGTAGGCACAACCATGCAAATACCTAAACACTGTAGTCGGGCATATTCCAGGGGCATGAAGTCATTCAGTCAGTCAGTTTAAGTGTGGGAGAGCCATGCTTCGGCACGAATGGGTCGGCTCAACCGGAATGATACCACGGCCTCACAGAATACCGGCGTGAAACAACCCACAGCGTTGTGTTTCGCCGTGTGAGTGAGGTTACCGGAGGCCCAATCCCTCCCCTTCCCCTATCCCTTCCCAATCCTTATATCCGCAACCCCCATCCCTAAAAGGCCGGCAACGCACTCATAACTCCTTTGGTGTTGCGGGTGTCCATGGGCGGCACCGATTGCTTACCATCAGGTAATCCGTCTGCTCGTTTGCCGACTTATACCTCAAAAAAAAGTCAAATCAGAAGTAATTATTCGAAAAACGAAAGGTTGTATCTAGCGTAGATCGTGGATTACAGGAGTTGCAGCGGTTTTGAGAGAGTCTGGTAAGCTTATCTCATTAGCAAAAATGCTATTAACGAATACCGAAGGCCCATGGTCCCTCTCAAAATTGAAACGAATCGAATTATAAGTATTTTTTTGCTCAATATGACTGATGGCAAAAAACATCGAATGGCACCTCCCACCCTAGTTGAGACATGAGGGAGTGCCAAACTGTAACTGGATAAAAACCACTTGGTTTCTTCTTCTGATCTGAGCCTTTACATGCCTCGCTTGAGATCTAGTCAGGTTAAATCAACTGGAACCACGGCTTAAAGTAATTGCTTATTGTATTCGCATGGTTACATATTAATTTATAAAGTAATGCATTTTAAATGGTCGTAAACCTGATCAAATGGCCGTTGTGATTTTGAGAAAACAATAGCCGGTGGTTTCATACGCCAAATATAGTATACTAGCTCTCACGCGGTATCACCCGCTGCTCGGCTTCATTTGATGGTAGCGTGATGTTTTATAGCCTACAGCACTCAGGAGCATTGTAGCTATCTATCAGTGAAAGAATTTTGGCAATCTGACCAGTGGATCCAAGGATTATCCCCTACATACAAACATAATATAAACTTACATATTTTACCTGTTTATAATATTAGTATAGATATGTATTAAAAAAAGGATTGGTGAATTTGTAAAACGTACTATATTTTTTTCAAAAAGAGTAACGATGGAGTTGTTTGCTCGTTCTTCTTCATTCAAAACTACAATTTGGAACGAGCACCTTCACTGACGAACAAACTAACAGACTTATGCCCGGTTTCTGAAAGGCTTGTCAACGCTAAAATTAACTAATCTCTTGTCAAATCTCTTGTCAAGTCATCTGATTGGTTGTTGATAATTCAGTCAACCAATCAGATGACTTGACAAGTGATTAAATTTATTTTAACATTGATCGGCCTTTCGGAAACCGGGTGTAATTCTATTTTGACGTTTCAAAAGCACCTATTTATGGTTTAGTTGGAATAAATATAGATTTTAAATTTAATTTTGACTTATTACTGTTTATTTTACTGTCTTAGTTTTTTGAGCTAAGTTTTTAAATGGAATATTAAGTTATAACCGAAAAGTATATAAGCTACTATTTATGCATTTTTTTATTTTTATTTAAAACTAAATTAATGAAAAGTAAATAATTCTTGGTATCCTCAGTATAGTAAGAAGTATAACAAAACTTCTCTGTTAAGCATCTGCGTCAGGTTGAAGGTGAGGATTCCGTGGAGTCTCTCTAACCGCTAATCGAGGGGTTTTACCGCGAGCCTTAAAAAAATATATTTTCTCTGACGTAATAATTAATAAGCTATGATAGTTTTCGAACCCTAAGAAATATATTCGAAACAATAGCTTTAAGTAACAATGACTGTGACTGATGATTTCAAATCAATTCGTCTCCAACTAATTACTTATAGTTTTAATATAGAAAATATATATTTTATTCGTTTAGGAA